TGTGGTGCAGTACAGTCCTACCTCTCCTTTCCAAGGGGTGGGGAATGCTGTCACCTTGAGCTGAGACTGAGATGGGGGAAGCTGTTTGACCTCCTCCACTTCAGCTGAAGTTCCCCAGTGTCAGACTGACTCCTTCCCTGACCCTCCTCAGATGAGGTACAAAGTGGGGATGTCAAGAGGCAATTTTGCCTGAGAAGTTCTTTACTTCTGTGGGAGGAGATGTGGGGGTGAATGTTCAAATGAGATTTGGGTTTGGAGTCCTTAACTGCCCCGCAATTTTCATTGGTTTGAGTTCAGCTCTTGATCTTCACATTAATTTTTTAGCATGAAAGCACAGAGCACAACAAGCAGAAGCCTTGGCAAACTGAGGACACCCAGCCTGGGAGAGAGAGAAAATTTCACATGGTTTGAAAAACCAGAGCCAACAGAAAATTAAGAGTAAGGCAAGGGGCAGGGGCAACAAAAGGTAAGATTTTCTCTGAGTAATGCAAGTAAAAGAGATTTGAGACTCCAACCAGTTTTGTGAATTCACTCTGCCTATAAATTCATGTCCTTAATAATTTATATTGAAAAATGAAAATGAAACAGGTTTGGAAAAATGTGGGTTTTATTTTGGTTTGGGTTTGTGGTTATTTTTTGTTTTATTTTGGTTTTGTGGGTTTTTGGTTGGTTGGTTTGTTTTTTCTTTGTTTTTGCTATCATAATAGGGGTCTACCCCAGGCCTCCTGCTGGGAGGGCTTTAGGAGGGGGTGGGTTAAAACAGCCTTTCCTCTGGGAATGGGTCCCTGTGGCATCATGCTAACTGTAAGGTTTGAGGAAAACCCTGTACTCATCAGTATTTTGGGGGTGGGGGAATAAATCTTCCCTTTGGGCAAAGAAGTGGCCACTCATTTGCTTGCCAGGTGATGGCTTGCAGCACTTCTGCTCATTTGAAGCATCTCCTTATAGACAGTGCCCAAAATGCCACCTGTGGGGTAAGGCACAGCCCAAAACATGTGAGAGTATCAGGCTCCGTCTTCCCCATGTTGCACATGAAACAAAAATGGATGCCAAAATGGTGATGTTTGCATGGACCCTAGAACTGACATAGTCATCTGGCCTTTCCCCTACATCAGTTATTTAGGAAAAAGAAAACGCCTCAGAGCTGCATTTCTCTGAGAACAGCCTTTGCTGCAGGCAGCTGCTCAGGTGCACCTCCCAGTGATGCCCCTGAACAGCAGAGGCTGATGGTGACTTTCTAGTGGGATGTCAGTCTTTGAAGGGTTTCTCATTCCTGTCACAGACCCCCTTTGTTCTCCTGGGAGGCTCCTTCCTTTCCTTCCCCCTTTCTTTACTGCTGCTGAACTGCACTTCCAGGTGTTGCCAAAGGACCAGGACACAGCTGTGGTCACAGAGGTGGAGAAAACACCCTGCCCTGCACACCAGGTGAGATGGCAGGAGCAGCAAGCACTACCACCTCCTCGCTTGGCTGCTTTGCTGCCCAGAATGTCATACAAAAAACAACAACAAACTATCACCACCCTCCCCCAAAAAAACCCCAAAAAACAAACAGCCAGAAAAACCCACCCAAACTCAAAAAAACCCCCAAAAACTGCTCTGGGCAAGGCAAAACTATTTATCCCCAGCCTGGGCAGGATAGGGGGAGTGGGCTGAATATACTGACAGGGCAAATTAATGGGTACTTGGTTGCATTTTCGTTTCTTCCTTGCCCCTGACTTCTCAAGAGATCTGCAGAAGTTGGATGACTTTGAAGCTGTTTCCTCTTGCTCAAACCGTCTGACGTTGGCCAGCGCGGGCTCTGACGCAGCATCGCGGTGCCACAAGCCCTGTCGCAACCCTGCTGAGCTCCTGCCCATCCTCTGGGAACCAGCACTGCCTCTGCAAGGCTCCTCTTGGAAAAGGAACCAGTCTGGTGCTGACCAGAGAGAATCAGGGAGGGCTGAGGGGGTTGTGAGATGCCTGAGGTAACTGGGGAAGATGGAAGTGCTTTAGGTCCTTGTTTATTTCTGTTTTACATCAACTGGGAGGTTGGAGTTTGGGTCCTGCCTGAACACGGGCCTTGGAGAGAAAACCCCTGAGTTTAGGAGCAAATAACCACTGTGCTCTCCGATTAAATCCTTAACCCCAGCGTGGCCTCTAGCATAGAGTCTCTGCTTAACTGTGGTGCAAAATTGACGTCTCCCAGCTGCAAAACGTGGCTGCATAAATGTCCTGCGGGAGGGGTCAGACATCTCTGGAGCTGCAGTCAGCTCTCACAGGCGGCTTCCCTCTCTCCACCATGTAGGAAAACTGGGGTGCCTCCAGGTGGCAGCCCTGTCCACTCTAAACAGGGGTTTGTTTTTCCCTTGAGATTATAAGGGAACATCGGTTGTGGAATTAACTTGAGATTCAGTCCACTTTAGCAGCACGGTGGCAGGACAATGCTGGATCTGCTAGTGATGATGCTCTTACTTTTGTGCAATGATCCAGAACCTGCAGAAGTCATCCCAAACAAGAAGATGTGGGCTCTGGGCTCTGCCAGCCTATGGACAGAGTGAAGGATTGCAGGATTGATGCTGCAGCCTCCACAGCAGCCTTGGTCCTGCCCAGGACCAGGCTGGCAGGAAATACAGGGGCAGAAGGATGAGCACATGTCTTAGTGATTGCAGCACTCAATTGTCTGGTTACAGGTCAGAGCCTGGAAATACAACACAAAAAGGTAATTAGATAAACAACCCCTCCCACCAAGAAGTGTAAGGTTGATCCTGCAATGAAGTGACTGCTACTGGCAACAAAAAGCAGCCTTCTGGCACTGCTTTGGTAAGGTCCCCATAAACTTGTTTTTGTGCTTAAGAGCACCCAACAGCTGCTGGGAAGAGAGAGGTGGAAAGCTCAGGCTGCAGACAGCTCTGCTCCATCAGCATTTACGTGGTCAGGCACCCACAGGCACCTTTTCAGTAACAAGTCAGAAATCTGTGGGTAGTGACTGAGAGGCTCCTTGCAAAATTTGAGCTTGATCCCTTTGTGGATCAAATCAACAACACCTTGAAGAGCTTCTTAAAGGGGTTTTAAATTGCATTAAGACATTTACAAGTTGACAGCAGTAGTGAAACTTGGGTGTTCCCAAAATCTGCAGTTCAGTTTCTATTCCCAACAGAAGGATCAAAATCTAAATGTTTTGAGGATTTAGCTAGCTTATTGCTCACAGGTGCCTTATGGTATTCAAGAAAATGCCCTGCTTCCTGACCAGAAGTTAGACTTGTAGGCTGAGCATACAGAATTTGAATTTTCCTTTAATGCAGTGAAAAAGCAGCACAAAGCTGCTGTCTGAATTTGAGTTAGTCTAAGGATAGAAATTCCTTTTATTTATACTTTTAATTAAGGATGAGTTTTTGTTTCTGTCACAATGCACAGAATTATTTCTAAATCATATTTGAGACTTCCAGCAGAAGAGGTTAACTAATACTGTGAACTCATCCACCCAGGGGAGCTCTGCATTAATGTGGTATTTAAGTGGGGAGATCAAAGCTTTGATACCAAATGAAATGCTATTAACAGTTTCACACAAGCAAAAACCTTCAAGAAATTTCAGTGCAAGGTGTTGGCACTGAGGAATGACTGTGGATGGGAAGAAAAAGTGGCTCCATCCCAGTGCTGCATTTATTTGGTGGTCAAAGCAAGGGCTGACAGTAGCAAATTGCTCACAGATAGTTGTGGATGTTTTGGCCCTGGTCAAGGCTGTAATGACCACTCTGAGAAGCTGCAGGGCAGAGGCAGAGGCAGCTCTCTACTAGTGCTAACCTGCACTATCTACTCCCAGCTTCACTGATGAAGACAAATGCTGAGGTGTCTTGCTGTGGTCTGATGTTTCAGCTTCCCAGCATGCACAGTGAGCCTCCTGATTCTTTGCTCACGTTGTCTCCCACTAAGTAGTTCAGGAAGTTACCCAGTGGCTTTTGCCCCCCTCTTTTTAACCAGAAAGCAGCCCAATTCCTAATGCTCCTATCCAGACATGATTTCTTTTGTTGGTAGGGGAAGTCAAATTCTTTGACTAAATCAGGATTTGGTTGTCTTTCTTTCATCTCTTGTTGTTTTGCTAAAGAAACAAAACACACACTCCCCAAAAAACCACCTCACACCAACAGAAAAAAAAATTTAAAAACCTAAAAAAAAACCCAACTGAAAAAAGACCTAAAAAAGTATTGAAGAGAGAGACTATAATTTTTCCAACTCTACATATCTATCTTGCAGTAATATTTTCCTAATTCCACAACTGCGAGCAAGTCAACAACTTATATGAGTGGGGTTAGACCACTAATTAAGCAAGAACTGTAGAAAATATTTAAGTGGGATCTACAGCATTGACCTGTCCTTTTTCAAATGCCAAGTTTATATACGTGACTGTGCATTTCAAATAGGTCAAGAGAGCTTGGTTGTAAGTACCCAACACATTGCTGTGAATTAATATTTAATCAAATGTACAACATAGGGCTGAATGTTAAAGCTTACCTTTGATTTTGACTTCTATGATTTTCTTGGGTTTCTAAACCCCTCTGAAAATACTTCAGTATTTCATAATAGTATTACTCATATGATATGTTTCTTAGCTGTGATTAAAGTTAAAGGATGTAAATCTACAAAGGGAAATCTAAGCAAGACCTCATCAGCATAAAGTATGTGGGAGACTAATTTAGTTACATCCCTATTAGTAATGACAAATCAAATTGTTCCTCTTTTTAAATCACTAATATAGCAAGGTTTTGCAACTCGGCACACAGCACGCACAATAAATCAGTTCGATCTGTACACAAACATTGAAGGCTGCCTTAAATCTAGGTTGATTTCTTATTCCAAACTCCTTCAGTGCAGTTCAGGTGAACCACCCTGGTTCCCTTAATACCTGGAAAGACAAAAAAAAAAAAAAAAAAAAAAGTTAATCTCTACCCCCATGTGCTGTATATCAAGCACTCAACATTTATAACCCTGCAGCTGATTGCTTAGCAACTGTCTTTGGGAGGAAGGACTCACCTGATGTGCCATCGGGAGCTCTTGTGTTGCAGGGAAGAGGCTGGATGAAATGAGGTCAGGCAGTGTAAGCTTACCCTGTGCTGAGTGGCGCTCGCTCCACTCTGTAATGAAATTAATCAAGGTCATTAATTTGATCCTTTTTTATTGTTATAATTTGAAACTGTAATTTGAGGTGGCTCAAAGAGGTGCAAGCATATCTGTAATTATACCTTTATAATTACATTTGTATTTTAAGGTAAACATTTTCATGTATTGCTGTGTATGCTAGAGAATATCGTTGTCACAACAGCAAACATGGACTGTAAATGGGATGGGGGGGATATTGAAACCCACCAGTTGTGTGCTGTTTAATTTGAGTTTAGGTGTTTCATGTATCTTAACATCTTAAGGTTAAGACTGAGCTTAAACTCCTGTACAGGCCCAAAACCAATGGCTAATTGAAAGAGATACAGAAGAATTGCTGTTTAGTCACACTGTCCTTTAAAAATTGCAGAGCCAAGGCATGAAGATTGTCCTCATCTGACAAAGCTTGAGGAGTTCATGGTGGCTGAGGAAGCACATACCAGAATCGCCTCCAGCCTGATGGCAGTGACCAGCGAGCGACCCACTGCCAATCCTGCAGGTGATGGTCAGGAAAAATTGCATTGCTTGTTCTGTGTTTAACATCTCACTGGGTGAGACCACGGTGGGGTATGAGAGCACCTTTTGTCTGCACAGCCAATTTGGCTGCCTCTGTTCCCCCCGGGCTCTGCTCACCAGCTGTCTCCGTGGCATGCATATGAGCTCCCTCCTGTCTCTGCTCTGGAGCAAACCAACTGGTTTCTCCCAAGGAGAAACCTCGACACGACTGACAGAGCTTTTTTTCAGGGTTGAACAGAGAAGCCTGGCATAAGCTGGACCAGACTCTACCCTGGAGGTCTTCCAGCCATCCCAGGAGACCTCATGCCCATTTGTCCTCCATGCTGTGCTCTAGAACCCAAAATGCCTTCAGATCCTGCTGAAAACCATCATGCTGGCAGGCTGCCACCCAGTCCTTTCACCACTTAGAGGATTTCAAATGAAAAAAAAAGTGCCCAATGCAATAATTATTGACCTGGGGTTTGTGGGGCTCTGCAGGCAGCTCAGAGGAGAGCCTGGCCAAGTGCTGCACAGCATGAAGGTAACCACTGCCCTTCAGAGAGCGCTGGTCCTTAGTGGTGTGGACACAAGCCAGCCCATAGCAAAGAGCAATGGTTAATGGTGCCTCCCAGGCATTTTCCACAACAGCATCAGACACGCAGCCTTTGCCAAGTAGCCAACACTCAGCATTTCCTTTCTTCTCCCTAAGACTATTTCTGGACCTTACAAACCTCTTCTTCCCCATGGCTCGATGCTCTGGCAGCAGAGTGGTGAGGAGTCCCTGGTGTGGCAAAAGTGGGTGACACACAAATGTGTGATGTACCACGTCTGTGAGATCTCCAGAAGCAGGATGAGCACACCAAGCATGGGGAGCCCAGAATGAGGGAATCACTGAGCCTGTGAAGGAACAAGAAAAATAAAGATGTTTCTGGGAGAACGCCCAGAAATTAATACCAACTCTATTCCACTCCTGAAGCATACAAGAAATCTGGCAATTTACATTAAATAGTCAAAAAGAAAAAGTTGTGATTTTTTTTAGTGTAGTAAAAACTGAATTCACAGATTCAGTGAGAAAGGGGGAGTGAAAGGGTCCTTAGTTGTTTACTCAATGATAACCTTGGTGCAGCTACCACCAATACCTTGCATATCTGTTCTCCTCAGCAAACCAGTGGCAAAACTGGGAGCTTAACTCTTAAGGGCATTGCCCCTGGTTGTCTGGCTCATCTCTCAGCAAATAAACATTTTCCATTTCTCGTGTATATTTACTTCATAGTACATATATAATGTTTGTAACCAGACATCTGTCTATACTTGGCTTGTTCCCTTCTCCATTTAAACACACACCTGAGAAGAATCATGAAGCCAATCACCCATCTCCAGCAGCAAAGGCATTTATAGAAAAACATTCCAGTACACCTCTGCAGAATGTGTACATAGATTGTGAACATAGATTTGTAAAAGATGAATGACAAAGGACCTGGCAGGCACTGCATGAATAAGCCATACAGAACCTCAAGACCCAGCTGTCAGGTCAGTGTGCTTTATTTTATCTTGCCACAATTTTTAGAAATTATGTGGTATTTTTGCAACCTTCATTTGCCAGTTTTTCTGGAATTTTTGAGGTGGTTTTATACAAGACCACTACTGTAACAATGCTTTTTGACCTCCAGATTAAAAAAAAAAAAAAACAAACAAAAAACCAAACCATTAGCTTCCTAAGGTTTTTCAATTTCAGTATCAAAACCCAATGGTCCTTCCTGAAATTTTTGGGTGTGAAAACTGTTTCAGGGCTGGGAGAGAGGGCCCATAAAACACTGTGCTCTTCATGCAAGTAGTTATTCCAGCAGGAGACCAATAAGGAGCTGGTTTCTCAAGTAGGGCATCAGATTTTTTTAAAGCAATCCAGGAATACTCTGTTGAATTCAGCAAGTGTGATTAAGATGGGTACAAGTTCACTTTGACCACTTTGGTCTTTTTCACTTGCTGTGTTGTCTCAGGATCATTTAGAGAAGGCAGTCCCTCTCCAAAGAATTTTGTAAATTTATAGAGCCAAGTGACAGGGAGCTGACTCAACTAAGTGAAGCTGGAAAGGCTGGACAAGCTTTTTATGTTTTGTTTCATAAGAATTTTGGGTTGGCTGGGGTGATATCAGTGCCTTTGCTGGCATGATCTCCAAAATGAAACCCTGCAGTTTCCTGGTCACTCTTATACTTCTTCAGCATCCGTAGCAGGAACTCATCAGCTGCAGCCTTGGCTGTTTGAACAGAAGTCTCCCCTGTGCAGTCTGTTATTAAATTCTCTTATGTCTTTATTAGATATTAGATGTGATGAAAGAAGGTGACATCTCCAGGGAAATCTTGCTTGAGGTGTGGGGATGGGATGTTAATGGACTGGGGAAGACAGAAAGTCTACAAGTGTAATGATCCTGTAATGTCCCCACATGAGTATGAACATCCAGATATCTTTTTTCTTTTTTATTCCACAAACAAAAAGCACTTGAGATGTATATAAACAAGGTACTTAGCTCTTCCCTACTCAATATGTCTTGCTTCTGTTTTAAAGATGGCCTTGATGTCTTTTTGTTTTTATTATTATTTTTTCCATTCTGCAATCTGCATCCTTTTTATCTCACACATTGGTACAACAGATGAGTTCTCCTTTCCATGTGACAGTTTAATTTCAGAGAAAAATGGAAAAATCCCTGCAGAATCAGAATTTTACCAACTTGTTGATCAAATAGGAGAGGGAAGGATGGATGCAGATTTCAGGACTAAACCCTGAGAAGCCAGTGTGTGGGTGCCAGGAACACACTGGAGGCCTGCCTGAGGTAGGATTGAAAAGAACATGGTTTGAATTATTTAAAAGCAGGTGCTTAAAAGTCCCCATGCTTCCTGGTGTGCCCTGCATGTGTGCACATGTCCTGCTCCTTCCTCCTTGCCAACGGGCATCTTGTGACGGTCTGCAGACATATTTATGATACCAGCAGTATTCACAAAGGTCAGTTTTGTTACCAAAACCTTTTCTTTGTTTCACTGTGGTTGCAGGCTCCCTCCATGCCAATGGAGATCCTGTGAAGCTCCCACCAGGTAGCTCCTCCCCTCCCAGCCCTCTGCTCTGGATCCCAGGAACACCACGGCCATGCTGCTTGGGCAAAGCAGCTGTACAACAGAAGGGCTGTTGATGTAGCCTTCTCCTCAATGGATCCTTGCAGTTTGCAGTATGGCCTGGAAGGTACCATTGGGATGGATATTAGACAACAACCCTTATTCTTAAAAGTCTGGGATGTATTTGAGAATTAAAGTGAATTAAAACACCCTAGAAGGTTCACACTGTTTTTTCTTTTATTAAATTTCAAGGGGACCAGAGGAGGTTAAAAAAAGAAATATTAAAGACCTCTTTAAAGTAATTTTTAGCTGTTAATTAATTGGAAGATTGTGGCTATTTCTAATCAGGAATGCATTCTGCCATGCAAATGCTGCAGCCTGCTGAAGGACATGCTCTGTCTTCTGACAGGAAAAAGGATCTTCCTTGCCAGTGGAAACCAAAGTTGCACTGGATGAGGACAACTGGTTCTGCAAGAGAAGCTCACGTGCTCCTGGATCCCAGCTTGCACCATCTTGTCACAGTTTCAGGTCTGGCTCAGTTTGCTCTTTGTAACAGGTTTCTCTTGTGTCTCTCTGTCTCTGTCTGGGTGGACGCAGTTGGACACCAGGCACCTCCCCCTTTTTTGGGAAAGCAAACTGAAGAGCAGTGTGCTCCCAGGATGTATCTGCATTGCAGCTGCATTATTAGCTGGCACTCAGGCTCCTCTGAGCTCAGGGGTCAGATGCAGCTGCACAAAAACCTGCATCTTTACGAGGAAGATGTGTTGTTGTTGGCCAGCTGGGCTGTGTTTCTTGGATTGACTCAAAAATAGTTTTCTGCTTTAACAGACCTGAGTGGCTGATGATCTTAACATTTGCTCTAATTGCTGTCTAACCTCAGAGCTGGTTTAATGTGTGTAGCAATGGTAGTCACAAAGAAAATACCAGAATCTAAATAATTAAAAAGAAAAGAAAAAACAAAACAAAACAAAGCCTTTATGTTTACAAGGAGAGATTTCAGTATGTGCAGAGATTTTTAGGCTCTGGCTTTAAAACAGTGTAATCATAGAAACAACAACACTGGCCATCAGAGTAAGAGAGGTGGTGTCCTGCAAACCAGAATCACAGAGTGGTTTGGGTTGGAGGGAACCTTAAAGATCATCATGGGAAGGGATGCCACCTGCTAGCCTGGGCTGATCAAAGCCTCATCCAACCTGGCCTTGAACACTTCCAGGCATGGAGCATCCAGAGCTTCTCTAGGATAGAAAGCAAGCAGACTGCAAAGTACTTTCTAATGGACTTCTTCATATGTTGAAGGAGACCTGTTTGTTAATCTCAGATAAATCTTAATTCAATTTTTGTATTGTTATGGTTTATTATGATGACGATAAGGAACTGATGTAAGACTTCTGGAAACAGATACTGCTAGACCCTATAATATTTTATGTGTTTTGTCCCAAAAAGGAGAGTGAGCAGCTCTGATGAGGTGGCCACTGTTATAACCTAGCAGAGAACCATATGAAAACATGTTTTCATGGCCTGTCCAGGTTGCAGGTAAGATGATGACCAAAATCTAGGTAATATGTAACTAGAAATTTAAGATTTTTTGCCTTAAGGAAACCTGTATGCCCAGAAGATTTTCTGGGGAACCAAAGAAACCCAACTACAAAAAAATCATAGATGCTCCACAGTGACATAATTGTGTGACTTAGCAACAGGGTTCTCAGGCAATAAGGAATGCATCCAAGTGAACCCATGATTTATTGTTGCAAACCCTGGCGAGGACGGAGAGAGACTCGTGCTTCTGCAAACAACTCTTTAGCACAGGCAGCTCAGCAAATCTTCTTGTCTTCTAGGAAATCACTCTTGTGTTACATCAAAACCCCTTCCTTTTTCTGCACACACAAGTCAAGGAGACCAGAGGGTGAGCAGGGCATTGCTGTCCATCAGAGCAGAGTCTGTGCCTGCTGGGGCTGAGCTGATCCTGCCCTTTGGGGAAGCAGAGGAGTTTGGGTTGATCTCAGCCTGGCTTACATGCTTACATGCAATACAACATATGTGTATTCAAATCCCCTGTCCTCATGCTCACAGTAAGGAATTTCTTCCTGATATCTGATTTAAACCTGCCCTCTGTCAGTCTGAAGCTACACCCCCTTGTCTTGTCACTATATGCTCTAGTCAAAAGTCCCTTTCCAGCATTTCTGTAGGACCCCTTTGACAGACTTTTTAATGTCTTGGGATATTTGTCATTATTTGCAAATTATTTTCACTGAGAAATGACTGGGGAC